TTAGAGGCTTCTGGGCTGCCGTATGATGTGGTGACCACGATTCAGAGTGCACGAGCGCCCTCTACCATAGCATCTTACGCTGCTAAATGGGCAGCTTTCCAGAACTGGTGCACAAAACGGAATGTTCAAGCGCTCTCCTGCCAGCTGGTGGATGTCCTATCGTTTCTACAGATACTGATGGACAGAGGCCTCACATTCAGCACTATTAAGACATATAATGCAGCTATCTCATCCTGTCATCAGGGTTTTGGAGATAGATCTGTTTTCAGTCATCCACTCACAAAACGTTTTCTAAAAGGTGTCAGGAGGAACAGACCTGTGTCCCGGCCGCTGTTCCCCCAGTGGGACCTCACGGTGGTTCTACACGGCTTATCTAAAGCCCCATTTGAGCCCTTGGACCAGGTCTCACTCAAGTTCCTGTCACTCAAAACGGCCTTGCTGCTGGCTCTGGCATCAGTCAAGAGAGTGAGCGACCTGGCCACCCTCTCGGGGGCTCCCGCATGTCTCAGGATCCGGGAGGATGGCGGGTCTGCTGTTTTATGCCCCAACCCAGCCTTTGTGCCCAAAAGCATTACGGCTTCCTTCAAATCCAGGTCAATTTCATTGGCTGGTCTTTTTCCTCCTCCCCATAATTCTGAGGAGGAGGCGGCTTCCCATCTTCTCTGCCCGGTGCGCACGCTTGCACAATATGTGTCACGCACTTCGGGGATTCGCCGCTCACAAAGCCTGTTTGTGCACTACAGGGAATCTTCCCTTGGGCAGGCGCTGTCGACCCAGCGCCTTTCGCACTGGCTGTGTGACGCCATTTCACTCGCGTACACATCATCAGGGCGGCATCCCCCTGAGACACTCAGGGCTCACTCAGCCAGAGGGATTTCCTCTTCTATGGCGCTCCACAGTGGTGTGTCAATGGAAGACATTTGTCAGGCTGCTTCATGGGCATCACCCTGGTCCTTTACTCGTTATTATTTACGAGATGTGTCTTCAGGTTCTGTCACTCGTTCGGTGCTTGGACCTCAGCAGGCTGAATGAACGCTTTATGGCATCCCATCAGCCCTGCTTGAATGATTTTCATCCTTTTATAGATTTTATTTTTTAGTGGGGGCTCCACTCTTATTTTTGGCTGCCTCAGCCTTCGAGCCTGGGCTGAGGCTGAGCGCCCCTCCCTAAAAGGCGTGTTGGATGTGTTCATTGGTTGAGCTAACCAGTGTGGCGTAAACCCATCCAGCTGCGCATTATTCCAATAGCAGCTCGCTTAAGGGCTAAGACTAGACGAAATAGAACGTTGGTTACATATTGTAACCCCAGATTCTATGAGTCTAGTCGCAGCCCTTAAGCCACTGGCCCCACTGGTTCTGCTAGGTCTAAGAGCCATCGGAGGCGAACAGTGGAGTCGCTCCACTTATATACCCACAAGGGGGCCCACTATTAGTGGGTGTACATTGAAGCTCTTCATGATTGGCTGATGCGGAGATCATCCTTCCAATAGCAGCTCGCTTAAGGGCTGCGACTAGACTCATAGAATCTGGGGTTACAATACGTAACCAACGTTCTAGGAGTAGCTTCACAGTTTATTAACATCCGTGTAGTCTAACTCTATAGCCATTAATCTGATCATTCACAATTATCATAATTAAATTAAAGTATTTTGGACCAAATTAAACCAACCGCTGTATGTGCATAACTAGACAAAAATGTTGTTGCTACTATATATACCATTACCCTTTATTTAGCTCTTAGTGCAGCAATGTAAAAATACCATTAGAAGTTAAATCTAACATCAAATCAATGATCTTCTCATAGTAATGTTAGTTTAATGTCTACAGGCAATCGAATCCAACAGCTGAAATGTCTCCTCAGCCTTCATTAGTTTCTAGAGGAGCGATTCATCACAAAATCTAACAAATCAGCTGTGTTCACATTCTCTGGGTGCTCCGGTTTCTTCCTACAAAGCAAAAACGAGCATGTCAGGATCAGTGTGTGACCAGTTTTCTCTGTGTGTCCCCACGATGGACTGGAGATATGTCCAGGGTGTCCTCTGCCTCTTGTAAGATGACTGCAGATAGACACCAGCTTCCCTAACCTTACTGAGGAGTTGGTACAGATAATGAGTGACATGAGCACCTTACTGCTAGTGTTTTTGGAAAAATAAATGAAAACCTAAATCTGGATGACTGATCATTTTTGTATACATATTTTTCTGCAGACCTACAGCAGACCTCGAGAGTAGGGCTGGGCGGATCGATCTAAAATATCAATAGTATCGATCTAACGTTGATATTGAGTATTTATTAGATACCTGCGTGATGGAATCGATTCTGTTTCTTCTAGCCTGGCAAGCTCACCGCTACAGATGTCGGTCAACGAGGCAGTCCACCAGATGCCGTCAAAGCCAGCTCAGTGGCCTAGTGGACCAGCTCAGTGGCCTAGTGGTAGAGTGTCCGCCCTGAGACTGGGAGATCAGGGTTCAATTCCTGGTCGGGTCATACCAAAGACTTTGAAAAAATGGGACCCAATGCCTCCCTGCTTGACACTCAGCATTAAGGGGTTGGATTGGGGGGTTAAACCATCAAATGGTTCCCGAGCGCGGCTGTGTCTGCAGCTCACCGCTACCCCAGGGGATGGGTCAAATGCGGAGAACAACTGATGGGACTTTAACAAGGAAGATGCGAAACACATCCTTTTCCTAAATAAACGTTAGTACTTCTATCTGATCTTGACTCAAACAAAAGCTAAAGTCATAATAGTCCAAACTTGACCCCATTGCTGTTTCAAACGAGCAGCTGACCGCCAACTAGTCACGTTTGTTTGTTGTTTTTTTACCCAGTAACATCCCGCCTACTTAGTGTTGCGATTGGCCCATGAAATCTATATAGCGCCATGATTGGACCACTACAAAATGGCAGCCATCTTGATTTGTAGTTTACCTGGCTGATACCTGTGAATGGACCGTTTCGAGCAGCAGCCATGTTTGTTTGCAGGGACATCCCGCCTACCTCGCTAAAAGAGCGCTGTGATTGGCCCAAAAAACCAGTAAAGCACTGTCATTGGAACGCCACGGATGTCAGTCAACGGAGCAGTCCGCCGTTACATTAAAAAAAGGTAAAACAGCGCACCAGCACGAGACAAGCACAGAACAGCAGAAAGCACTGTTGTGGCTGCGTGATGGCAGACCGAAAAAGGAGCGCCGTTTGGAATTTTTTTACACAGCTTTATAGATTTCAAATAGAAAAAAATCTTGAGCTTGTTAACCATTTAAACCATTTTGAGTTTCCTAATGAAAACTTTATTTGCCTGAAAATGTTCCCTGTATTTTATTATCATCGTACACATGATTTATTAAAGGAAAAATTACAAAATAATTAAGTAATCAATAAAATTTGAGTTTTATTGATCCTATTTATCTTAATAAATCCCACAAAACTAGATGGTACTAGTAAAAAGTATCAGTATTGGTATCGGTATCGGCAATACTAGCCCCTTTATTTACTTGGTATCGGATCGATACCAAATTTTGCAGTATCGTACAGCACTACTCGAGAGCCTCCTGTAGGACCAAGAACCCAGCTCACAGTCCTGGAGTACAATCAAGAGCAGAAACTGAACCCGAAGGGCACCAACAAACAAGTGTTCCTCACACAGTTGCTGTTTCAAATTATGTCTAGTTATTTATTTATTCAGATATTTTGTGCAACAACATATTGTTCAACACTCCAAGTAAAAGCTTATGCTCTCACCCCAAGTCTGAACCAAAGTCAGTGACAGGGAATTTTATTCCCACTTGTAACAACCTACAGTCAAACAATCTTTGATCTTTTTAAGTTCATTTTATTTATTTTTTGTGGCATATATGTAGAGATGGAAATGATGACTCTGTTTGGTCCTCCTGACGCTGACCTCCTGACAGCTTTCTGTTTTGTTCTTGCCCGCTCTTTGGACCTGGAGCCTTCCACCAGTGGTCCAGCTGCAGCCCAGCAGGAGTCTCCTTCCTCCCCTGGAAAACTGGTGATTACAGAACAATTAAAGTAAATGTTAACAGCCATGCTTCTTCTAAAACAAGCTCTATCTGTCAGCCACCTGCCTCTCTCTGGGTAACACAGGCCATTTATCTCCATCTTGTCAAACACACAACCCCTTCAGGCACCATCCTGCATAGAAATAACTTCACTGTAAACACGCTCATCTTCAAAAGAACAAATGGTAATTTTCTTGTTTTCCCGGAAGTAATTTAAACCTCAATATTATTCAGATTGCTTCCTTAAAGTAATGACTGTAATACCAAGTTCCCAACAGGGTAAAATAAAATTGCTACTTAGTAAATTATTTTAAAAAGATATTATTTTTTTAGATATATTGCTAGAATGAATGCATTTAAAGCAGTGGTATTTTTCTGAATCTCAACAAAGCTGATGTTAGGAATAAAGTACAAAAAATAAAAACATTGCTTAAAGTATTTTTTTCAAATGTTGTTTCAATTGAACTCCAACTGTAGGAGCTTATTTAGAAGGTTAAAAAAACTACTTCTTTACAAAAGCATCAAATCTTCATTATCTGCATTTTCAGGGGAGATTTTTTAATAAACCTTAATAATAAAAAATTTAAATCTATTTAGAAATACCAATGTGGACCTACAATGGGGCATGCCACAGGGCTCTGTCCTGGTCCCCCTACTATTTGTAGTTTATCTCCTTACCTTTGGGGATTCTCCTCCATCAACAAGATGTGAGATTCCATCTATATGCTGAAGATTGTCAGATATATGTCCCTCTTCAGTGGGGGTGGGGTGGGGGTGGGGGGTGGTCCAATTTCTCCACTTCCGGATTTTTTAAAAGATGTCATCTCCTGGATGGCTTCTAATTTCTTGCATCTGAACAGCACAAAACCTGAGGTCATAGTGCTCAGCCTGGGTATACTAGAGGCTGTGGAGTTTGGCCCTTTGGTACATTATGAGAGGAAAATGGTAAGTAAGTAAGTAAAAGTTTATTTATATAGCGCCTATCTCAGATATAAATCACAAAGCATTGTACAACATGATAAAGATCAGGGCAAATACCTCTAACCAATAAAAACATCCGAAAAACAATAGCAGTGATAAACGTAGAAAATAAAATCATGAGTATAAACAAAGTGAAGGTGTGAACAAGAACAAAGCCATCTTTTTGAAACATTTAGGGAGGGAACGCCTAGATGAAAAGGTGAGATTTTATATGATTTTTAAAGACCTCTACAGTGTTAGAGAGACGGAGATTTGAAGGTAGACTGTTCCAAAGTCTGGGTTCAATAGTCTGAAAGGCCCTGTCCCCTTTTGTTTTCAGTCTGGTTCGAGGAACAGTCAGGAGGTTTTCAGATGTGGATCTAAGGTTCCGAGAGGTGGTGTGTGGGGATAAAAGCTCATATAGGTAGCTTGGAGCCTGGTTGTTAAAGAGGGGGTCAATTGAGCCTCGGAGTCCTTCTCTACCCACGTATCAATTTTAAAAAATGCAACATTAGTAGGCGTTGCCTGGAGGACCGAGAGGGCGGAGCCGCGGCAGTGACGAAGACGACGGCTAACTAGACGATGCTAGCTCCCTTCACTCTATGCAGTTATTAGAAGTGGAGGATGTTTCTCCCCCTCCTTACCCAGACACTCGAGAAGAAAGGGACCAAGTCTATTTGGAGGAGACAAGCGGACCTGAGCCTTATTGTTGTGAGCTTGTGAGTTGCCTGAAACTCCCAGAACCGACCCAACAGAACCACCTCTGAACGTAAGTAGCCGTTAGCCATAGCAATGGATTAGCTGCAGGGTTTGTCTCCACGGCCCTGGAGAGCTAGTATTCAGCATGTTTTAGAGGTTTATCTGCTTCAGCACACCTGGTTTTAATCAGCAACAAATAGCTGAGCTGCTGAACAGCTAATCTAACCTGTTAAAGCAGGAAAATCCACTGAAACGTGCTGGATAGCAGCTCTCCGGTAGCTCTGGGCTCAAGTTACAGTCTGCTGCATAAAGTTATGAAAATACCCCATGAGAAAATTATTCTGTAATGTGTTCAGCTCACTAAAACTGCCCTGATTTATTTATTTACTGATAACAGCTGCTCTCTTGGTTCTAGGTCCTCTGGTGTCTGCAGCTGGTCTCTGGTGTCTGCAGGTGGTCTCCTCTGCTGGTGCCATCAGGATCAGGAGCTTCCAGAAGAATGTGCCTTTCAATGACTCTTTCCTCCTTATTTGTTATATTAATTAAATAAATCTCAATTTATATATTTCCTGTTTTTGTTCATGTCCATAAATACTTAAACATGCTTGAAATTAAAACGAGCTTTTAACAGTGAGGTGCTAGTTTAATTCATCACAATAGAGCTAGTTAAACATGCATTGTGATAATTCAATTAATGTAATTTATAAATATCCATTAAAATATCAAAACTGGAATTTATATGAGATATTTGGCAGCACAAAAAAACTTGTCAAACACAATATTTATTATAATAATTGTAGGCAGACAGGAGACAGAGCTGATGGAGGTTCTCAGTCATCGAAGGATGGCTGAAGGCTTTCCAGGAACAGGAGATGTGGTGTTGTCTCTTCTCTCTCTATTCTGCCAGATGAGCTGATAGGTTACAGGTGTGTGAGGACATCCTCATGCTGTCATAACCAGATGACAGGAGTTATCAGGTGATCAGCCAGGCTAATGAGATGCAGAAAGAAAACAAATCCAGGACAGTGTACAATATGTGGTGTTGCTCACCTTATGTGCTCTTATAGAGTTATTAACGTGTGCCTGCCTCATGGTGTAGAGTCCATATTTTGCTGAGTGTCCTGCAATAATGCAGGTTATTAGTTAATTTACTTTTGATAGCAAAAACAAAATATTTAATGTAAAAGTTGTTTTCCAGGTGAATCAGCTCACACGTCACCACCAAGTGTCACGGGGGCAGAATCAGTAGCCTCCGTCATGATGTAATCACATACTTATTTAATTGTTAATATCTTAAAAATTCTGAAATGTTTTAATTTTTTTTTACCTTGAACAGTTCACTGAGCTTGCACTGTCACTGAGGTGGAAGCTGGAATCAACAGCAGACACCTCACACCTTGGTCTTTTCAGGGGTGTGGACGCTGCTCTGGGACCTTCTGGAAGATGAATTTTCATCATGGTCCCCATGGGTCACCAGACACACTGCGGCTGTGAACTCCATTCTGGCTGGCTATGTAAAAACAAAGAAGCAGCACATTTATAAATGTTTAAAAGAGCATAAAATCACGTGTAACAATAATCTGTAAAATAAATTAAAACTAGAAGGTAATAATAAAATGTTTACATAGAAGATTATTAAAAATAATTCACCTTTGCTACAGGTAAGGTTTCACGTCAGCCTGGACAAGTGCATTCTTGCAGCTAAATCAGTCTGACAGCCAGTGTCTTGGGTAGATTTAGCCTGAAAAAAATATATAAGCACATTGTTGTTGGGAGTTTATAAAGTCAGATAATATACAAAAGAAACTGTCCCATATAGGCGCTTTATAACATTCCTAGTGTGTGATTATTATAACGTAAAAGTCAGTCACACATGATGTGGAAAGCCTGAAATGCGACCTCCTGAACAGAATTCCTCACAGAACCTGTTCACAAGCTGGATTTCACTCTGTAATGCTGTCTGTCAAGTGCTGCGTCAGTTAGAGCCACTGTTGCAGAATTGCCGACTGACTAGCTAAAGGAAGTGAACCACGTCTCTCAGACTTTGCATTTAGGTAGGGAATTGTCTTTAGAAGATGTTAAAATGTTTATTTAGCTTACTCACCTCAGACTGGAGCCCACCGTGGTGGGGGAGCAGAGTCGGTGGGCTGCATCTAAATCGCGGAAGAGCCACGGTGGGCAGCCTCCCTCTTCAAACGGAGACGTGCAGAATCGCGGGTAAAATGCCCACGGTCACCGCAAGCATACTACACTACACCTACTCACCAATACTAAGACGATATGGAGCACTAAACCCGAAATACTTTCCCAATTACACTAACAGCCAAACACTAACTAAACTACAATATCAAACAGCCAAATCTAACACTAAATAAGTATTTATAACACTAAAAGATATGCCAAGACTAGGATATGCTAATGCTATATGCTAATGCTGAACTACCGCTGACCTCCTACACTCACTTGCAAATCCAACTCCCACTCGCCACAGGGCGTGGCCGAGACGCTCGTTGCTTTTATAACTTTGGCACGGAGCTGCTACGTAGTACTCTACTGGTTTACGTAGTACTTTACTCTTTAGCCATTGGCTAAAATTTATTCAAAATGACTCAAATTCTATGTTTTCAGCTGAAGGTGGCGCATTACTGTGGTTTTTAGACAGAATTTTTAATTTTTAAAGAAAATGCACCAAAATGCTAAAATAAAGAATGCACACATTTAAAACACTATTAGACACTCATTTATACAGTTCATCAGCAAAAAAAAGTTAATTTAGACGTTACTTGCTCTTTAAGAGCTCTATAGGTCAGCACTAAAACTTTAAACTGTATTCTAAATTCTACCGGGAGCCAGTGGAGGGACTGTAAAACTGGAGTGATGTGAGCTCGTCTGCTGGATTTGGTTAGGAGTCTGGCTGCTGCATTTTGGATGGCTTGAAGGCGTGAGAGGGAGGTTTTGCTGAGACCAGTAAAAAGAGCGTTACAGTCGTCTAAGCGTGATGACACAAAGGCATGGATGATTTTTTCCAGATCTGCAGTAGAAACCAGTTTACGGACTTTTGAAATGTTTCTCAGTAACCAATCTTTGTGTAAAAATCTACTTGGCACTGACATTTGAGGCACAAATTATTATGGTTGTACATTCCAATTTTCTTTCATCTGAGACACTTGGCTAGGATTAAGCCCCTGCTGTATAGAGAACATCTCAGTCTGTCATTCATGCCTTTGTTCTGTCCAGACTTGATTACTATAACGCCTTGTATGTCAATCGGAGTCAGAGCAGGGGCGGCGTTAGGCCCGGCTACTTGGGCTGAAGCCCCGGATGTTTCATAGGAAGCCCCGGATCTAAATCGCGGAAGTAACATGCAGTACGTCTGTTTCTTTCAAAGCTCATTAGACTAACATGCAGTACCAAAGTCCAACAGAGAAGGAGCAGCTGGCAGTAGTTTGTATACAGCCTGCCTGAGCCTCCACCACTGAAGAAGAAGCCCTTCAGCAGCCGGCTTCTTCTGCAGTCTCTGCCTGAAACGCATGTGTGAAGATGGACATAAGGACGTTTTTTAGACCAAAAGTACGACAGAACCGCAGCTTTGATGAGACTGGTGCTGACTCAGGTTTGTGAGTCTTATTTGAAAATATTTGTTGTGCTGCTGGTTTGCCTAAAGTTAGCTTATCAGGTAAAGTTGTTGGAGAAAGAAAGGGAATATTTACTATCATCTCACACTAAACACTAACAGGAACAATACTCTGCCCTGAATATGCTTAATATGTAGCTTCAGATTAATAATTATGTGGTACAAGACATATATGATGTTGACTAGTGCGTGTCACGTGTGTGCGCGCGCGTGCGTGTGTGTTAAGCCCCGGATGTTCTTCAGTCCTTAATCCGCCCCTGAGTCAGAGCACAGTTGAATGCTTCCACCTTGTTCAAAACTCGGTTTTGCTAGGTTTTTGACAGGCACAAGACATCAGGAATTTGTTATTCCGGTGCTGAAACAGCTCCACTGGCTTCTGGTGCAGTATAGAGTAAAGTTTAAAGTCCTCATGCTTGCATGTAGGCACGGACGTAGTTTTCCCTTTAGAAGTGTGTGTGTGTGTGTGTGTGTGTGTGTGTGGGGGGGGGGGGGGGGGGTATCTTTACAGTATGCTCTAATGGGAAACAGGCTTCAACACAAACGGTTGTTTTCCGCTTGGTCCTAGAGCTCAACCAGTGTCAATTTAATATAGCGTAGTATTGTTTTTGGATGGTAAAAAGTGCAGGGGTCAAAACTTGACTTTGGAAAAAGTCGGGGGGACATATCCCCCCTCCCCCCCAAAAAATTACATCCATGCATAGAGGGCTCTTCATGGCACTGTGTTCAGCCACTTGGGCTTCAGCTAAATTTGTGGAAGGTGCTTTATAAGTTAAATGAACTAAACATTTGTGATGGGACTGTAAAATAAGAACCCCTTCATCATAAAAAAAACTCATCAGTTATTAAGGTCACATCTAGAAATCATTTTTCTCTCACCTGATGTCTAGCTAAGACAAAGCCATTAGTGTTGCAGGAGAAAATAAACTATGACACCAGAAAATTTTGTTTGAGCTTAAACAGTTCACCTGGTTTTAGTAACTTGATGCTACTTTTAGATCTGTTGCATCAGATTTGTTTGACTGGTTGCTTAAACCTGCTTTCCAGAGTTTTCCTCTTTCAGAAATTATGTATGATTTGTCAGAAATCCGTAAAAGTGATTATCTTATCATGTACTGTGATATAATATAAGCAATACGCCTTTATTTTTTCTTGCTAAGCACGCCCCCTGCCCCGCAGAGCTCCATGCAATAGGAAACTGAGCGCCGACCAGAACTAACCAATGGCGTTAGTCTACCGCTTACATGCTTCAAATTTAAGGATTACCCCGGCTGATGCAGAGTTGATGAACTTTTCACAGACAAGAAAGTCTCTAAAATATAAATATTTGAAAACACAACATGACATGAGAATAATACTTGTAAAACAACGTGTTTTAGCTCCATTTGTCCACTACAGAAGCACATTTAAAAACAGAAACGTAAAGTCGCCATCTTAAAAAAAACACAGGAACAGAGTTTTTGTGTGATACGCTTGTCAGCCACTAGATGGTGCCATCGGATAAGAGAAATACTCCAGAAAGAAGCTTTAACTATAGCTTCTATTTTTGTGTGTGCATCAAATACTGTTAAATTACACAGACAAACCCTCTGTGCAGTCACCTATAGGTTTCTGAGGAGCTCAATTGAAGCGTAAGACTTATCAGGAAACATCTCAGAGATAATAAGGCCCATTCCATTATTTGTTAGATTTTTATCTGATGACCAGACACAAGCACTGGTCAATATCTACAAGCACTTCATGTAAACCTCCTGATTCTCACCTGTCCCAAATCAGACATCACTGCTAAAGGAACAAAAGTAAATTTGGCTTCTTTTTACCACCCCTTAGAGTCTGTTATTAATTCACCATCATAAAACCAAAACTCTCATTCTCTGTGCGTTTGTATTTTTAACAACTTCATCAAACTGATGAAATGTCTCCTCAGCCTTCGTTAGTTTCTACAGGAGCGCTTCATCACTTAATCAAACAAACCAGCTGTGTTCACCACTGAAAACCTGCACACAGAAACACAATCCAGTGCTAGCATGTTGGCTTGCCACTTTACTATTCAGTTTTTGGTAAATGTGACCAACAGCTTTAGAGGAGGAATCATGTGACCACAAGAAATGTCTGCAGTGCCAGCAAACCCAAACGTGGATTCAGAGCACTGGGTGATAACAGACAGGCAAGTTAACCTAAAAGCTACAAGCAGCTAGCCGACAGGACCGGGGCCGGGAGCATCGGCTGGCAGTACCAGGTGGCTGGCAGCCGCACGGCACGCTGAGGATTAAGTGGTGTGTAAGGGTACAAGGACTTCTGATAAACACAAGAAAGCATCAATGGCTGATCAATTGCTAGATAGGAAAAAAGCTTCGGGTGAGTGTATGATCGGTGATGGAATGGGATGTGATCATTACTGCCTGACAAACATATTTAGAAATAATTACAAACCCAGGGAAAGCTAAATCATGCACAAATAAACATTTGAATTTGTACTTACAAGCGCAATAGGACAATCGTTAGGTCTGCATCCAATTTGAATCCTTTTTTTTCTCTGAGCTCTCATGATTCAGAAAGCTCCTGATGTTGACTCTTGATTAACCCCTCTTGTGGTCCGATAGTCTTTTTATTATTTTGACTTCATCAGATAAAGGTTTTCTATGTCCCCTTTGAGGCTCCATCATGATAAACACATTACAATTGATGCTAACCAGGTATAGCTTGTCTGTCCTGAGTTGTAAACATGGAACGCTGTAAAGAGTTACTGCTTCACGCAAGATACGTGAATTAGGGGGAGCGGTCTGGATACTCTGAAGTAGCAAGTGTGGTAATCTGGCCACAGGGTGTGGAGAGGGCTGAATGCATTTTTATTAACCCAGTGAACAGAGACAATCTAGTTACGAAAGCCAATCAGCTCACGAGTCAGCGTGGCCCAGCTGGCCTCAAGCAAAAGTTCACATGAACGCATCCTGTGATTGGATAAGCAGTTGTCTGAACTTTTCCAGCGGCATTAAGCAAAATATCAAATCTAAACGGACATTTGTACCTATAGACAGCTATCGGTGTATTTTTTGAACATATGATGGCTTAAAGAGGAGAAGTGTAGCGCCAGTGCCCTATACACTGGCACTACCTGGTTTTTGTTGCGGGTGGTCTTTACGTGTGCTTTAAGAAATGCAGCTTGAGTTTATTTCTGATGATGTTTATTATGTTGTCTTGTTCCAAAATGTCCATGATCCATGTACAGCAGTTAAAGTGGGATTCAGTGAATGCGTTACTTGCCCCAATGACAGTCCGCAGAGTCCTTTACACACAGCCACAGTCCTCGCCACACAGTAAAAAACTGTTTGTCCCATCCAGCCACACCTGAGTCCAATCTGTGTTGGCTTAAGTAGGCTGGTGCTTCCACAAGCAATTAACCAATAACATGAGGCCAAGCCTCCTCTCAAGTGCATAAAAGGAAATGACACATTTGGCTCCTACACGCCAGCCCCTAATTGCGCATGGCAGAAGACAAAGCAATTACAATAACTTAGATTACAGGAGCCATTATAAAACACAAAAAACACCAATACACAATAAAAAGAAACATAAACCAAAAGACCCGTAATACCTTTTGAAACCTAATCTTCCCCTTCACACACTAAACATAGTTTAGTTACTGGTCTCTCGATAATGTTAGTCTTGGTTTGAAGGCGAACCACTCGAACCAAGCCCTTCTTGTCAGGAAACGTTTTAAGGACTTTCCCTAACACCCATGATCCTCTAGGAGTGGTGTAGTCCATAACCATAACTACGTCTCCCACTTCTAACCCTTTTTTCCTTTTGATCCATTTTTGCTTTTCCTGCATTAGTGGCAAGTACTCCCTGATCCATCCTTTTTTTCTTTTCATTTTTTTTCCTTGTTTTTCCTTGTTTTTCTTCTTTTCTTTTTTCTTGGGGCTACTCTAGTCTTGCCAAATAGAAATGAAACATGCATCTCTTCCTTGTCGTTTTTGAGTCTGAGGTAAGTAGCTGTACCGTACCCATTTTTGCTTGCATCAGAGAAGTGATGCATTTGTTCGCCGATTACCTTTTTTAACCCTTCTAGCTTGAGACATCTGCCAATTTGGAAATCTGTAAAATTTTCCAAATCTCTCAACCATTTCTCCCATTCCTTCTGGAAGGCACCAGGTACATGATCATCCCAACTACAGTCCAGTCTACACAGTTCCTGCAAGAGTAACTTGGCAGGTAAAATGACAGGAGCTAGGAATCCCAACGGATCATACACTGAGCTGATTACTGACAGCATTCCTCTTTTGGTAGCAGGCTTTTCCTTCACCTTTGGTTTGAATATGAAGTTATCAGTTTCAACACACCATAACAAGCCTAATGCTCTACTCACGGGTAGATTATCTTTATCCAAGTCCAAGTCACAGAGTGTTTGTGCTCTGCAGCTTTCTGCAATGTTTTGAAGCACATTTCTCTTGTTGCTAGTCCACTAAGTTAAGGTAAAACCTCCCTTGCTGCAGATGGACGTAAGGTCCTTTGCCATGGTGACTGCATCTTGTTCTGTTGGCACACTTTTAAGAAGATCATCCATGTAAAAGTTTCGGTGGACGCTTTCTCC